ATGTACCGTGATGGCCAATGACACAGGCCTGCCATGAAACAGGTTATTATTATTAATTCTGTTGTTTCCCAAAGGAGTTTCTATCCTTAATAGACCAAGTCTCTCTTACTGTTTTCCCTAAAGGATCTGCCCTATTCCATAAGAGTCCGTGTTGTTTTGGATTGGTGGTGGGTTGCTGGTCATTGGTTTTATTTAAAAAAGGAACAGATCATTTCCATGAAAAATAATTGTTTAAATACATGCCTCGTTGAAGGAAGACTAAGCGTAGACTAATGTTAATATAGTAGTAGGTATGATCATACCATTTCTGTTTACTGACTGTAATGAAAAAAAATGGATTCACCAGGTTGCCTCTGTGGACAATGAACATATGTACAGATATTAGAATTAGTCAATATTGTTGTCCAGTGTCTTAGCTTGCATTTATTTTGAATGTATTGTTAAAAGGGAATGAATGAATGAATGAGTTCATATTTGGGTCAGTTATTTAAAAGAAATATCCTTCAATAAATGAATGTATAAAGAAGACATGGTACATATATACAGTGGAATACTACTCAGCCATAAAAAAAGACGAAATATTGCCGGTTGTGACAACACGGATGGATCTTGAGAATATCATGCTAAGCAAACTTTAAGGACCATATTGATTTCATTCATATGTGGGGTATAAAAGTGAAAGAAACAAATGAACAAACAAGAACGGAAACAAACAAATCTCATGAACACAGACACCACTATGGTGGTTTCGAGAGGGAAAGGGGGTGGGGGATAGGAAGGGTAATGGGTCAAATACATGGTGATGGAAGAAGATTTCACTTTGGGTGGCAGGCACACAATGCAACGTACAGATGATGTGTCATAGAAATGTACACTTGGAACTGATATTATCTTTTGAACCAATGTCACCCCAATGAATTTAATTTTAAAAATAGATAAAACTAAAGAAGGTAGAGCATGAGTCAGTGAGTAGTGGGTGCCATGAAATGAACATAAGGATTGATTCATTTTAGATGAATGAAAAGAAAGGAGACTTACCTCCCTTTGGGCAAAATGCTTGTCAGCAGTTGCATGAAATGGTATTTCAATTCTGGATTCCTGGTGGGTTTTACTCTTTTTTGTTTGAAAAAAGGAATAAATGATGAAATTATCCTTGGAGTAATTAAATGAGAGAAACATTAGGGAGCCAGTAAATGTATTAATTGGTGTACATCTTGGGCTAATGCTTCTTGGCGCACCCTACGCCGTCTGTGAACCCCATCCTCAGAGAAGATTTAGGAGGCTGGGAACCCCGGCTCGGGAGCGAGTGTAGATGGGTGGCGGTGCTCGTTCCGTCTGTGCCTGCTGCGCGGGGCGGTGCGTTGAACAGTGCTTCCGTGTGCGGTGTGCGAGCGCCATCTAGTTGCATTTTTCGGCCTGTTTCCATCCATTTTCCCCGCACCACTTTCTGAGTCAGCTGTCTTTCCCCCACCGTATGCTCTTGCCCCTCTCTCACATATTGACCACCTAGGCTTTCTCGCCTGTTCCGTTGACCTGTGAGTCTGTTTCCATGCCCGTGCCCTGCTGCTTTGAGTACCGTAGCCTTGTAGTGTAGTTTGCTATCGGGTAGCGTGTTACCTCTGCCTTCATTCATCTTTCTCAGGATCGCTGTGACTTGCAGTTAGGGCTGTTGATGGGTTGATCGTGTGCTTTCTCTGGAGAAAATAAATTGATGTTTAAATTAATCATGAGAACAACAAGAAATGAATAAATAAAACTATATAAATCAATAAATAAATACATCAAGTAGGGTCTAGCCTGGCCTATTGGTGAAATTATGCCATCTAAAAAGTATTTAACTTTATCCAGCACTGCACAAGTGATGCCGTTATTAGAGTGCAGGGAAGGATACTTGTTGCAGTCATTTCCTATTCTCGTGCTGGGCGTTAGAGAAAGTCAATAAATAATATGTCAGGCCATTCTTGGGCCATTGGTTAAAACGTAGCTTGCATCAAGGTTTACTATTAATCTCGTGCAGCCTTACTAATATCCCTTGAAAAATGTAACTTTATATTGTTAAATTCTTTAAAATTCGCTTTTATGCCGCACAAGGGATACATCATTCCTGACTTAATTATTCCCCATTGATGAACATCTTGGCTGTCATGTCTGTTGGTACAAAGTGTTGAATCAGATTTGAGGAACAGTCAAAGTTCGAAGTTCATGGTCTTGATTTTGGGGGTTCGTTTATGAGTTTCAGTATTTCAAAAACTTAATGGGTACATATTTAAAGAAAATAGAAAGCACCATTGATTAGCAGAGGGTAGTTACATATTATGAACTAAAAGGAAGTTAGATTGTAGCAACTCAGCAGAAGGGAGCCTGTTAGGAAAATTAGATGGAGGGCCCGTCCATCGCTCTCAGGGGCGATTACTATTTCATTTTGGTTTTGACCTCAGCAAATTTAAATCTTCACATGTGATCCAGGCTATTGACTCTTTAAAGGGAGCTTGTAAGAAGGTGACAGTTAGTGTCAGGGGTCTTGTTCTGGAGTAAGATGGTGTGTCCATGGTCATTGTTGTACCTTATTTAAAATGTGGACAAATTAAACAAGGACTGAGCGTGGATCAGCAGCGACCACAGGGTTTCTAAGGAGCAGGAATTTAAGTATGCATTGTCTGCCATAGAGATTCTTCATTGATCTCAGCAATTTCAAGGTTCTTACTGGGATTTGGGGGATTTTTATGCGTCCATTTTGTTATTGTTAGTGAATCAATGAATGAGTCAATAAATAAACGGGGAAATGAATGAAGACAAACAGTGCCAAGCCTAAACCACAGACGAGCGTCCTTGAGTGTCTGAATTAAGAATGTTGATTACGCCCGGTAGCTGTGAGATCCATTAGGGAAGGAAAATTACCCTATTATCTCTGTGGGAAATGAGCTTATAGCAGACGTTAGGAAGCGTCAGATCCTGTTTTGGGTCTATTAAAGTTCTTGAGCATAGATTATACTTTTCCAAGTAAACTAATGCATGAATGAAAGCATAAAATAACTACATTAAGGAGGGCGATGTGTCTGTTAAGGTCTTCGGCTCATTTTTTAATCGGGTTGTTTGTTTTTTTATTGTGGATTTTATCTGATTTGAATAATAGCCATTTATCAGATGTATCTTTTGCAAATATTTTTGCCCCCATTCTGTGACTTGTATTTTGTTCTCTTGACACTTTGTTTTGTAGACAAGAAAATTAAGTCCAGTTTATCAATTATTTTTTTTTATGTATTGTGCCTTTGATTTTTTTTTTAAAAACGTCATTCCGAAACTCAAGGTCATCTAGATTTTATTCTGTTATAGGACTTTTATTGTTCTAAATTTTGCATTTTGGTCTATGATCCATTTTTAAAAAGGTTTTAAAAATTGATATTTATTGAATTTCTTAGGGTGACATTGGTTAATAAGATTATATAGCTTTCAGGCGTACAATTGTGCAATGCATTATCTGTATATTGTATTGTATGTTCACCACCAAGTGAAGTCTCCTTCCATCACCATTTATCTCCCCTTTACTTTCTTTTACCTCCCTTCCCCTTTCCCTCTGGTAGTCACCATACTGTGTCTATGAGGGTTTTTTCTTTCCTTAATCCCTTCACCTTTTTCACTGAGTTCCCTAAACACATTGATTTGTAGTAGTTCTTAAACATGCCTTTGAAGATACAGACTCTTTAAATATATCAATCCAAATATTGATGATCCATTAGGAGTTCATTTTTGTGAAGAGTACAAGGTCTGTATTTAGATCCCCCCCATTTATATACCCAGCTGTTCTAGCACCACTTGTTGAAAAGATTGCTTTCGCTGCTTCATTGTATCACTTTTGCTCTTTTATCAAAGATCAGTTGGCTCTCTATTTTTTTGGCTTTCTGTTCTGTTGCATAGATCTGTATGTCTGTCCTTTTGCCAGTACCACACTGTCTTGATTACTGTAGCTTATAGTGAGTTTTGTAGTCAGGCTCCGCCAGTCTGTTAACCTTCTTCTTCCACATTGTCTTGGCTATTCTCTTCTATTGCCTATTCACGTAAACTTTAAAATAAGATCAGTTTGTCTACATCCACAGGATAAGTTGCTGGAAATTTCATTAGTATTGCATTGAATCTACAGATCTAGTTAGAAAAAACTGACATCTTGACAATATTGAGTCCTCCTGTCCATGAACATGGAACATTTTTCCATTTATTTAATTCTTTTTTGATTCCTTTCATCAGAATTTTCTCGTTTTCCTCATATAAATCTTGTATATATTTTGTTTAATTTATATGTAAGGATTTCATGATTGTTTTGCTAATGTAAATAGTATTGTGTTTTTAATTTCCAGTTCCGCTTGTTCATGGATGGTATGTAGGAAAGTGATTGATTTTATATATAGAGTTTCTACACAGGTGACCATGTCATCTGTTAAGAGACAGTTTTATTTATTTCTTCACTAATAGCACATCTCTTATCTTTTTTTTGCCTTATTGCAAGGTGATTAGCTTTGTTTTTTGCATATATCTGTACAATTTTCCCAACACTATTTATTGAACAGGCTATCTTCACCCCTTTGTATATTCTTGCCTCCCTTGTCAAATATTAATTGACCATAAAGGTGTGGGTTTATTTCTGGGCTCTCTATTCAGTTCCATTGATCTACGTGTTTGTTTTTATGCCACTGGCACGCTCCTAGGATAGTTACATTTTTTTCTTGTTTGTTTTTGTGATAGGAGCACCAGTAATCTTCTCCCTTAGCCAATTTCCAGTACACAGTATATTATTAACTATAGTCATCATGCTGTACATTAGATCTCTGAACTTATTCATTCTATATAACAGCAACTTTGTATCCCTGACAAACATCTTCCTAATTTCTCCAACTCCCATTCATGATAATCACTATTGTACTGTCTGCTTCAATGAAGTCAACTTTTTTTAGATTCCACATATAAGAGAGATCATGCAGCATTTATCTTTCTGTGTCTGGCTTATTTCACTTAGTGAAATGTCCTCCAGGTTCACCCATGTTGTTGCAAATGACAGTGTGGTTTTTTTAAGGCTGAATGATAGATATTCCACTGCATGTACACTGCAATTTATGCACTCATCTGCCAATTGACACTTAGCTGTTTTTTTTCTAATATATGCATTCAGTGCTATAAATTTTCCTCCATTCACTGCTTGTGCTGCATCCATTTTTTAAAAGAAACAGTGAAACATTTATATAAATGGATATTTGTCTGAGTATATTTGTCATTGAATGAGAAGCAGTTATGGAAAAATGTTGACAATGTGTCATATGGGAAGTGTTGTAATTGATCAGATTGTGTTCACCAAGTTTTAATAACAATCCCCAAACTGACTCAGTTACTTCTGTGACTAATAAGTAGATAGACACATGTTAGTATCATTCAGGATTTATATCTAGTCTCTTTGCATTCGTAGATGTTGAAGTTGTGTTATAATGAATGAATGAATGAAGTCCTATCACAATTATTTAAAATAAGACAAAGCACAGATCAGTGAGTACCATGATTAAGGAAACAATGATAATGATTAATTTGGGTTTTCACTGCTGATGTTTATATAAAGAAAAATTCCTGGCGTGCTCCCATTTTTGGTAAGAGACATGTGGCTCATTGCATGGAACAGTATTTCTGTCCTGGATTACTGCCTGTGTAGCCATTTGACTTCTTAAATGTAATGAGCACATGGCTAAATCTCCCGTAAGTAGTTAAATAAGTGAATAAGTGAATGAATAAATGAATGTATAAAATAAAATCAAGCATGAGGCATTGAGAATGTAAAATAAGGATTTAAATGTGACCAATTTTGCAAAAGTAGCATCCATTGCTATTATCCTTTATTCTGTTAAAACTTAAACTGTAAAGATTTTTTGGTAGATATTGTTCTTATTCTAATGTAGATTCAGCAGTGGCAATTACATTATTTAAAAACAAAGGGGAAACACTGGATTAATGAAAAAGTACCAAAGTTTATTACTATCCAGTTCCCCTTTATTCACATAAACTAAAATGTAGGTTAATTCTACTTTGTCATCCACAGAACTGCTACAGGACAGCAGCTTTTTCGTTTTCTGAGAAATAAAATGTTGGCAGTTAGCTCTGTGGATTAAAGCCCTAGTAAGTAAGACTGAAAGATGCCCCCTTGGTTGGAATGTTTTGTTCACAAGCGCTTAGTGGTTCCGCAAAAGAATCAATCACTATAATAGAAATAAAAAACCTAACTGTGGACCAGTGATGGGAATATGTCGTGAAATAAAAATTACATTTAATCTAATTTGGGACAACTGAGGAAATTAAAAACCACCATCATTTCATTCATTTTTCAGACCAATTGAATATTACATTTGATGTTTGCATATTGTGTCGTCCTGGCTGAGAGCCACGCGTGTGGCGGCCCGTAGCCGACGGCAGGTTCGGCGTTTGAGACGGGATTTAAGAGGGTGGTTTCACCACTTCCCACGGGCCCATCTTTCAGACGTGGCCTCACTAAATGAA